CCTATCTACCAAGGACTCTCGGGAAAGGAAGCTAGGTCAAACTGGGAAAGGCCTTACATAGTCATAGAAGTGGTAAGATTGGGTACCTACATAATTCAGAACTCTAAGGGGAAACTCTTGGCTCATCTATGGAATACAGAATACCTGAAGAGGTATTACCAATAGATGGGGGCAAAGTAATGGGCGTACAAGTCAGTAGTCACCATTTAAACTATCCTTTGATGTTTGTTTCAATTTTCATTGTTATCTACTTCAGATTATGAAATAAAAGTTTGCAAGACTTTGTCTTTTTCAAAAGCTGTCTCTCATTCCATAAAGGTTCATGAAACATTTACAAAAGATAGAACATAGTCTAGAAACAAAAACAGGTAAACAAAAATACCATACTTCTGGCATCACTCACTGCCCTCCGATCCGCTGCCATCAAAGCTCTCTTCCTTGTCAGTCCCTAGTGCCTCATAAGGGACAAAGCTATAGAAGTCATAGGCAAGAAAACCTGCTAAGACCTTCCCCTTAAACTCCTTATAACCATCGATAAAGGTGTTTGCTACGGCCCTCTCAATAGCATCTCTCTTCTTCTTCATCTCAACGGAGTAATCTTCTGCCCTAGTAGCTCTCTCAAGAGTTGTTCAAAGGTTAGCCTCTGCTCCAGCGGCCTTCTCACAGGACATTCGCAGCTCTGTCTCTACTCTTGCGTAAGCAACCTTTCTATCAACCTCCAGCTGAGTAGCCCTCTCATAAGATGCCAAAAGATCGGCCTCAAGGGGCGCGGCTCTCTCGTGTGCTAGCCTCAACTGCTCCTCGACAGCCTCTCGCGCCTGCCTCTTAATGTAACGCCCCAAAAACCCCCGTGGGTGACATTACATTCTAAAAAACATTTACTGTATGAGAGCATTAAGTAAAATTCATCACGACGAAAGTTTCATTCATCAACCATTCATATTTTAACAAAATTTGGGCAGAGTCTCCTTTGTACGGGGAGCTCTACCCAAAACACAACCTGTACAATTATATTATAATTGACCACACCGGGTCCATTTTTCCATCATAAAATAAACTTGCATTCATCATATGTCATATTCACACTATCATCCCAAATTAATAGGTCTAATCTTGGCCTTTACATCTCCAAAATGTAATAATATAACGCAACGGAAATAATAGAAATGAACTAGAGTTCAAAAGGATATTCTAAGCATAATCTAGTCTAGAACAAAATAAAAGTGTCGCTCTAAGCGTCCACCTCGGGATCCACATCCCCGTCAAGCGGAGTCTTTCAATGGGTGGACTCCTCGGCTCCTAACTCCTCCTCAAGTGTGAAATCTGAAAATTTTTATTTGTAGGGGGTGAGCACGAAGCTCTGTAGCAAAATCCTCTCAACTCAAACAAGGTTTGAAAAACACAGCAAACGGTCGGTCTCATTTCACAACTAACATATATATAGGTTTGGAATGAAAACAGTGACATTTTAAAAGAGATCTCAAGTTTAAACAATAGCAATAATCAGTTAAAAGAATAAAGTGAGTTTAGCATCGATAAACAAAATTCTAATTTAAGTTATTTAAGAAGGGTTTCTCCCTAAGCATTGTCTCATACCAATGCGTCGGCAAGAACGACCCAACTCCCGATTCCATGTATTTTTGGTTCATCCCCGTACCATGTATGTTGATTGCTTCTCGTGAATCTACCTAACGATCATGCCTAGTCCACCAATTCTAACCAACAATCACAAATCTCTTTAGGAAGGGCGTGTACCGTCTCCTACGGCATTGACGAAATCCTCCCAAGGTGTCTAGTATACTAACCATTTTCCTCGGTGTATATGTGAACAATAGTGATCGCGAGCACAACAACGATCCACTACGAGCATTAGGCAACCATCTCACCCCCCATTGGGATAGACTAACCTCTAACACTCTACGGCATCTCTCGAAGGTAATCCAAGTCCATCACAACAACCATACAATGAGGAAATCAAAAATATTCACAATTCACAACAATTTCTCAAATATAGTAAAATCCCAAATTTTGTTTTCACATTTGTCATATAATCGAATAATCCAAGAAAATATGAAAGAGATCGTAATCTATATCATTGTGTTATACAATATTCAACACTAAAGTTTTAAAATCAAAGACAAAGAAGAAATTAGAAGAAAATCCCCTTTTCTTGAAAACTAGGGCTTGAAGATAAAAAAAAAATCAATAGAGCTTTGGTGGTTACCCACCCTTCATATTGTTCAAAACATGGCATTTATTACAAATAGAATAAGAATCATGTATTTCATATTATATATATGAGAAGGAGAGTGAAGAAACATATATCTATATATATATCTAGCCTCAATGTGAGAGATTGAGAGAAAATCTCATACCTTAAATCAAGATTCCAAGCTAAGACCCAAGCTTCAAGACCTTCTTGCTCTCCTTTATTTTCCTCTTAATCTTCTCCTCCTAGGGTTTCAAAAGATTTGGGTGAGAGGGTAGCAAGAATGGAAGAAAATGGGAGGAGAATGTATTCTTGAAGAATTTGAAGTTTTGATTTCTACAAGGTATAAATCTCTCTTGATTGGTATTTCTATCTTCCTCTCTTCCTCTAAAATGGTTCCTAGGGTTTGGAGGGGTGAAATGAATGCTAAAGGGACGACATTAGGTTTTTATAGGGCAAGAAAATCGAGCAAAACCCGATATTTTCTGTTCAGAAAAAATCGGGTTTCCTTCGTACTGTTCAAAGATTTTTGGTGCGACTTCCAGGTCAGTTTTGACCCATTTAGAGGTCGAATTGGAAATGTTTCATGAAATACACTTTTGTAGCCCTAGATTTCTAATATTTTCTGTCAAAATTTCAGATCAATTGGACATCAAAATATAAAGTTATGATCAAAATACTAATCAGTGTCCATCACCCCTTTTTACCCAATTTCACTCCAATTTGGTTTTACTTCTAAAATACTTCCTAACTTCTAATACATCCCATATTACCTCTCTCAATGTTTTCCGACCTCCCGAATTCAATGGTAATGTTATTTTGATAAAAAAAATTAATATATTTATTTAGTTACCCTTATCAATCTTAAACACATCCAAAAAAAAAATTAAGTTTGACCCAAAAGTCAATCCGTTCGAAACTCAAACTTCATGATTAATATTTCAACAATGATTCTAAGTTTTTATCCTCATTTTATTCATATTTGGAAAACTCTTAAGATATTAGTATTCTTATTTAATTTTAGTACAGGGTCTTACACTTAAGCCCCAACTGCTCCTCAATAGTACTTCATGACTGCCTCTTCACTACTTGACCACTAAGCGCTTCTCTAAGCTTCATCGTGCTTGGAAACAAACAGGGAAAAACAACAACCACCTTTGGGCATTCAAAAGGCATAACATAAAAAAAAAACTCAGGCACGAGATCAAATGTAAATAAAAATCATACCATAGCAAAGCCCTCCATAGTAGTGTCAATGATGCCCTCTAGACCTCGAGAGTCGACCTCTTGAATCTTCGCAACAGTCACAAACCCCCAAAGTCACTCCTTAGCCAGATTCACGTCCTACAACATGGATACTGAACCACTACTAGAAGCAAGGTGGCTAAGCGAAGCTCCAGTCCTCATAGGAGACCACACTAGGGGCTCAATCCCTGCAGTTGTTCTAGGGTTATCCCTGGAATGCGATGGAGTCTTAGTTAGGTAAGGAATGGGGGCATCACCGAGTCCCACCTCTCGAGGACTAACCTGGCCAGCAGACCTCATCTAAGAAGTATAGGGGGTATCAAACTTCACCCTCTTAGAGGAAGGAGGGGAAGACGCTGCCCTGGAAGCATAAAGAGCCTCTACTATCACTCTATCAATAGAGGTACCTACGGAGTTAGTGTGAGACAAAAACCTTACAACGTCATAACCATGAAGAGTCTATTGAAAAGATTAGATACTCTTCCTCTTCGGCCTATTAGAGACTTTGGGACGACTCGATACGGACATAATCTCTGAAAACTCCTTGAAAGGATGATTTCGCAGTACCTGGAGCCTACTCTTCTGCTCCACAGATAACGTCGGTGGAACTGCAAAGGAACCAATCACACGGTAAGAACAGATAGGTGATGACTAGACGTAAAAGCAAAAATGAAATTCTTACCTAGCTTAGTCTTTGGAGCAATGTCCCACCTCGAAGGCACTAAGTCATTGTCTCCCTCGGTGGCCCACTCACCTCCAATAAAGAAGAATCTAGACTTCTAGCTATGACAATTGGAAGGAAGTCCAGTGATGAACTTGCCTGACCTCGGGACAAAATAACACCACCCTTGATAAGGAGAAGGATTATCCAGAAGCACGTACGTGGCCAAAAATTCCTCGAACGGGGGAGGAACATCAGCACTGTGAACTAGCCGCCACAATGAGAAGAATGCTAGGATTACTCTCCACCCACTGGGAGTTAACCTCCTGGGAGCCAGTGATAAATGTCCCAGAATCTGACAGATGGGTCCAAATATGGGAAACTTCAAACCTACCTCTAGCACGTCCTCGTAAAGGGTGATCTTTTTGAATGAGTCATGACACATCGACTTTTCCCCCTTGGCCCGATGACATAAGCTAGCAGGAGTAATACAAAATGCAGAAACAATGCGGACAATGTCATCATCATGATCTATAGAAATAAAAATGGAGACTACCTTTGAATTGTCGCCTTCAGTGATCCCTTTGCCTTGCCGTGAAGCCTGCCTAACATCCACTCTATGGCCCTACCGGCTTAGGTGCCTAAACGAACAGTAAAAGGCAATGAAAGTGAACGAGAGTCGGGTTAACAAAAATTGACAAGGTTAAGTTACCTAGGTAAAAGGGCAGTACCTTGTTTTCCTCCACTAACTGGTCCATCAACTCCAACTAGCCCTTTGAACAGAGTCTCAATGCCGAGTTTGTCTTCCCCATGCTTAGGTTCCCTCTTCCAGCACTCAGCTTACCGCGAGGATTATTACCCAATGAACCGTTGGCGCCCTGCATGCTATCGAATGCGACACTGGCACCACCTCCTCTTTTCCTTACAACCAATGCCTAGGTTATTGCCCAACGTGTCTCCTAAACCATCACCTCCATAATCAGTAGCAGCATTGCCCCCATGGCTTGAGGTGTCACCTAAGCCTCACCAAAGCTCGGCGCCCAGCGCCTAGACCACGCTCAGCGTGCCTAAGGCGTCGCCCCACTTCCCTTTGGTGTTGTTGCCCTTAAGGGTGTTGCTCCTCCTTATGCTTGCACCATTCCCAACTACATTGAGTCCTGCTAACGGCCTTTTCTCATCATGTCTGGCACCACCCGCCTTACATCTGGCATCGCCTATCTAGTACCCATCACCTTCACCTGCTTCATTGGTGTTGCTGGCCTCCCAAACCACTTTGGCGTTGCCCTGAAACCCCCTATGGGCATCGGCCATGTTTTCACTCCTTTCGAAGTCAACTGTCGCCAACCCAATCTCACTCATCTGATATAAACTGAAGTTGCCCACAGCGCCGCCCGAGAAGCTACCAACGGTGTCACCCAAACTCTTGTCCATCTCAACGTAGCCCAGATTCCCCTTCTCGAAGATGCTTAACACAATCCTTGTGTTGCCCAAAGCGCTGACATCACCCAACGTGTGCGCCGACTTGATGGCATCATCACAAACCTCCAAACCCACGCGATTTGACAAAGGAAAGACGTCACCCAGCATCTCGTAGGCGTCAACCAGTGGTTAGGATGACTCGTTGAAATCTGCGACACCTCATGGCCTGCTCATTCAGTGTCATCTTCTGCCCTATTGCTTTGGATTATACCTATCCTCTCCATTGAAATCTTCTCATGGAACACCACCTGTTGAAGCCCTCTCCACTAAATCCCTCCTCACCTCCAATGGAAGCTTCAAAATTGCAAGGAAAAAAGGTTGCAAGGATAAGAGGGGTAAATGGGTTTTACAAATATTGGCTTCTTGAAACTGTGTCCTAAATGAAGGAAATGGGGACTTTAATGGGAAAGAATAAAGTTCCTTCTACCCTGGTAGCAACATTGCAATAAAATAGGAATAATAAGGAAATGAAGCTCCCGTGGCGCAAATAGAGCAAGAGGTTAAAGAAGATACCACCGTGAGGAACAAGAAACCTTTTATCTGCTCGGATAAAGGGGTTCACTCATGCCCTCAATCTCTTGTCATTGCAAGGGCTTAGGGCATGGGGGGAAAATGATGAGTCCTGATTCAACTAGGCCGGGCCCAATAAATTAAGCCTAGATCAATTAAAAGATCAGTAAAGCCCAACTGATGAAGTCAACCCAGTTCAATGGCCTAAAGAGTCCAAGAAGATTAGAGCACGTGGGGAGCAATCCTCTAGATAGCCACTCTTGAAGATCTAGGCAATTTTTAATTGTACTTACCTTTTGCAGCTATCCTTCCCGAAAAACTAGTGTCTTTATCCTCACGTCACCGCCTCAACCAAGACTCTATGCCTATAAATTGTAAACTTTCTCTACATGAGAAGACATCTCTCTAGACACCCCTCACATAGCTATTTCTCTCTCCTAGCTACCATACCTCTCCTAGAGCTCACCTTCGCTATAAAGATTCTTCGGCTACCGTTGCCATTTTTGGAGTGGAGTAGGTCTCCCCTGACCGAACTACTATACATCTGTGTGTTGACCCGAACTCCTGTCCATCTCAACGTAGCCCAGATTCCCCTTCTCGAAGATGCTTAACACAATCCCTGTGTTGCCCAAAGTGCTGACATCGCCCAGCGTGTGCGCCGACTTGATGGCATCATCACAAACCTCCAAACCCACGCGATTTGACAAAGGAAATGCGTCACCCAGCATCTCGTAGGCGTCAACCAGTGGTTGGGATGACTCGTTGAAATCTGCGACACCTCATGGCCTGCTCATTCAGTGTCATCTTCTGCCCTATTGCTTTGGATTATACCTGTCCTCTCCATTGAAATCTTCTCATGGAACACCGCCTGTTGAAGCCCTCTCCACTAAATCCCTCCTCACCTCCAATGGAAGCTTCAAAATTGCAAGGAAAAAAGGTTGCAAGGAAAAGAGGGGTAAATGGGTTCTACAAATATTGGCTTCTTGAAACTGTGTCTTAAATGAAGGAAATGGGGACTTTAATGGGAAAGAATAAAGTTCCTTCTACCCTGGTAGCAACATTGCAATAAAATAGGAATAATAAGGAAACAAAGTTCCCGAGGCGCAAACAGAGCAAGAGGTTAAAAAAGCTACCACCGTGAGGAACAAGAAACCTTTTATCTGCTCAGTTAAGGGGTTCACTCATGCCCTCAATCTCTTGTCATTGCAAGGGCTTAGGGCATGGGGGGAAATGATGAGTCCTGATTCAACTAAGCCAGGCCCAATAAATTAAGCCTAGATCAATTAAAAGATCAGTCAAGCCCAACTTATGAAGTCAACCCAGTCCAATGGCCTAAAGAGTCCAAGAAGATTAGAGCACGTGGGGAGCAATCCTCTAGATAGCCACTCTTGAAGATCTAGGCAATTTTTAATTGTACTTACCTTTTGTAGCTATCCTCCCCGAAAAACTAGTGTCTTTACCCTCACGTCATCGCCTCAACCAAGACTCTTTGCCTATAAATTGTAAACTTTCTCTACATGAGAAGACATCTCTCTAGACACCCCTCACATAGCTATTTCTCTCTCCTAGCTACCATACCTCTCCTAGAGCTCACCTTCGCTATAAAGATTCTTCGGCTACTGTTGCCATTTTCGGAGTGGAGTAGGTCTCCCCTGACCGAACTACTATACATCTGTGTGTTGACCCGAACTCCTGTCCATCTCAACGTAGCCCAGATTCCCCTTCTCGAAGATGCTTAACACAATCCTTGTGTTGCCCAAAGCGCTGACATCGCCCAACGTGTGCGCTGACTTGATGGCATCATCACAAACCTCCAAACCCACGCGATTTGACAAAGGAAAGGCGTCAACCAGTGGTTGGGATGACTCGTTGAAATCTGCGACACCTCATGGCCTGCTCATTCAGTCTCATCTTTTGCCCTATTTCTTTGGACTATACCTATCCTCTCCATTGAAATCTTCTCATGGAACACCGCCTGTTGAAGCCCTCTCCACTAAATCCCTCCTCACCTCCAATGGAAGCTTCAAAATTGCAAGGAAAAAAGGTTGCAAGGATAAGAGGGGTAAATGGGTTTTACAAATATTGGCTTCTTGAAACTGTGTCCTAAATGAAGGAAATGGGGACTTTAATGGGAAAGAATAAAGTTCCTTCTACCCTGGTAGCAACATTGCAATAAAATAGGAATAATAAGGAAACGAAGCTCCCGAGGCGCAAACAGAGCAAGAGGTTAAAGAAGCTACCACCGTGAGGAACAAGAAACCTTTTATCTGCTCGGATAAAGGGGTTCACTCATGCCCTCAATCTCTTGTCATTGCAAGGGCTTAGGGCATGGGGGGAAAATGATGAGTCCTGATTCAACTAGGTCAGGCCCAATAAATTAAGCCAAGATCAATTAAAAGATCAGTCAAGCCCAACTTATGAAGTCAACCCAGTCCAATGGCCTAAAGAGTCCAAGAAGATTAGAGCACGTGGGGAGCAATCCTCTAGTTAGCCACTCTTGAAGATCTAGGCAATTTTTAATTGTACTTACCTTTTGTAGCTATCCTCCCCAAAAAACTAGTGTCTTTACCCTCACGTCACCGCCTCAACCAAGACTCTATGTCTATAAATTGTAAACTTTATCGACATGAAAGGACATCTCTCTAGACACCCTTCACATAGCTATTTCTCTCTCCTAGCTACCATACCTCTCCTAGAGCTCACCTTCGCTCTCCCTTTCCTTACTTTATTAATAAAGATTCTTTGGCTACCGTTGCTATTTTCGGAGTGGAGTAGGTCTCCCCTGACCGAACCACTATACATCTGTGTTGACCCGATATTTGTCTTTTACTATTAGTTACTTATTGATTGCCTCATTAATTACCCTAAATCACATACATGACTGTTGATTGTGCATAAGCTTTTTTGGTTTCTACACTCCAAGTATATCATTTTTTGTTAATGAATTTTTAGTACTTTAATTGGTAGGCAACAGTCAGTGCCCACCCACAAAGTCATTCCTAGCTCTACCCCTAAATCTGACTCCAAAAATAAAAAGGCTTAATAAACAATGATATAGAATTTGATTAATGAGAAATATCCGAGAGGTTGCGTAGCCAGATTACTAGAATGTCTAACAATAGAAACCTTGAAAAAATCAAACTCACGCGATTTAGTCCAAATAGCAGCTAGCATCGGACCCAAGGGCTCAAAAATTATCATCTATCTCTGAAATTAAGTTCATTACATTAACAAAGTTGCCTTCCAGAATACTATTACCACATCTCTATTGACGAGCAAAAAAGACACAACCTCCCTTGCTACTAGGACTTTCGCGGTCTGGGCATCGCAAACGTAAATTACTTTCTTTGACATACCAACTCTAAAGGTCCTTCTTTCATCCCTTATTATTACTCCCACACCAATAGCACCTACGGAAGCAAACACTGCACCATCAAAATTGATTCTCAAAGCACCAGTAGTTGGAGAGACTAGAGAGAAACAACCATCGCCTGTGGTGATGGATGTCGAACTACCCACTGTGATTGTGGAGGTGGATACTGATTGCCCGTTGTTGTCCCTTGCTTGTTCATATGATCTAATGTAGTCCTCTGAGAGATGATGTAGTTCAGCTAGATCCCTTTTCGAATTCTGAAAAACCACCTCTTTCCTATTTGTCCATATGGCCAACGGTGAACTATAAATAAGGCAAATTGTTGAATCTATTACCAAAGTATAGTTGTTTTACAACTTTATTACCAAAATATAGTTGTTTTGAACTTATTTACCAATCTACAGTACTTTTTAAAAGAGAAATCAACAAATCCGACTTCATGTGAAAGCGGATTCAAGAAGTACAATTTCATCTGAAAGCCGAATCAAGAAGTACAACTTTGTTAGGTACAACGGAATTATCAAATCCATTTTTATTCTGAAACCCTATTCATCAAACCCACTTTTAAAAGGAAAAATTGTGCTTATCTTCCAATGAAAGCGGATGTGTTAAACCCGCTTTCATTATAAGGCAGATTTGATACAAATGCTTTCATTAGAAAGCGGACTTGTTGAAAACGCTTTCTAATGAAAGCGTGCTTGTTGAAAACGCTTTCTAATGAAAGCGTGCTTAACACATCCGCTTTCAAAGTGCTACCCATTCATATCCTTCCCAACCCAAAATGTTTACTTTAAAAAATTGATAACTACCCCCGCTATCACACTTTTTCAACATATTGAAAAATTATTTTTAGCATATTGGAAAATGAAATTGTGGTATTGAAAAGTTATCCAACTTGTACACAAAATGAGAACCATAAAAAAGATAAAAACCCGAGTGGGACTATTTCTACACAACCCCACAAGTAAAAATTTCATTCCCACCTCTATTAAATAATAAATAATAAAACTATTAAGGTCACCCTTTTTAATTTTTAAAAATACTACCCATCGTACCCCTCCCCTCCCCACCCCACCCCACCCCACCCAAACAAAACCTTAAATCCTAAATATTAAAAAACCTACCCGCTGAAACTATTATTATTCAAAAAGAGAATAACAATCGTACCCCCCCCCCAATCCCAAACAACAAACCCTAAACCAGGGGAAAAGAGAATTTATTTCTTTTGCGATAAAAACATTACAAAAAAAATCAAAATGAAGAGACTTTATGTCTTTTGTTGAAATAGAACTATAAGATTTTATTTTAAATGACATAATACAGACATATTAGTCATAATATGTCTAATGGCGATCATATTTCCAATAGCATAGTGGTGTGTCATGTAAGCAAAGAGTAGTAGGAAGAAATTTTGCACAATGATCATCATCACTTGATTCTTCAAAATCAGAAAGATCATTGTTAGAAGCCAAGGATGGATCAGATAGTATTGCATTAATAGGCTCTACAAGGTCTGAATGTTCAATCGTTGCCTTTGTAATAAGGTGAAATTAATTTAGCTATCGTTCCATCTGATCATTCTCAAGAGCCAGTGTTGCAATGATATCATGGTAATTATCCATGCACCATTCCACATACATTTCAGCTAAACTAAAACCTATGGAACTCGTAATCCATGCCAACGACAATATATTTCAAGCTCACAATCCTTGAAATAAGATTTCAACCAACTTAGTCTGGGTAGGTGATAATAAAACTCCAGAGGCAGAACAAAAATTGTAGGTCCAATCATCACATGACCAACGTCAGTGAAAGGGTTATGAATATTGATTAGCTCATTCTTAAAGGAACGTAATTTTTCATACCATGTTACTCTAGTGGGATTTGTGAAATTATTGGGTTCTGGTGAACTAAATGAAGAAAATGTTTCATGATAGCAGTGGTTGGTTGGGAATGGTTCATCGTTAGGTTGGCTTGAAGACCCATTTGGTGATGTTGTTGACATTATAGTGTATGTAGGGTTTACACTGCAGTTAAGTAATTGTATTTAAATAGGAACATAACTTATTTTAATATTACATTCATTGAACTAAATAATAACATATTGCAGTGAAGATACAGTGATGACTGACCAATGACAGCGACTAGACACTGATATAGTGTTGTGATTAAACAGACGTTGATGACATAACACTGATACAAACGTACAAACAGTCTTGTGTTAAATCACCACTGATGACTTAACACTGATAGTGATGTGCTTTGTTTAGTGATGAGACAACTCAGAAGTGCTGCACGATAAGTTAAATCATCATATTTAAAAAAAAATTATCCACAGCTGGCTAAATAGTTACCACAACTACATCACAATATCACTATAAATTGATTGTGTGTTTGTTCTCTTACCATACTTACCAATTGCAAACATGAGTTACAGTCCACGCTTAGTGTTTTAAACTATGGGCTATCATTGGGCGTTAGAGAATGAATTCTTCTATCCTGTAAATCCTCGTTTACATTTCTCACAGAGGTCAGTGAATAGAGTGAGAGAGGAATGGTAATATTCATTTGAATGAGAGAAAAGTTCTAAGTGAATATTTATGCATTTGTAATATACGTAGGCCACGACAAATTGCCATTAATATGCCTATTGAAACACCACAACAGTTGAAAGGTGCATTGAGGCGTATTCGTGCTGAAAACAATCGTATGGCAATATGCAAACTCGGTACAACCTTAGCCAAATTGTAGGCGACCGTGCTACAAAAGGTTTGGTTAAGCAAGCATGTTTGTGCTTACAGTTGTCTACAGAAGGAGGATGTGTTTCCGATGTTGAAATGTCGGACGAAGAATGTTTCCCATGATGAAGATTTCTTGATTAATAAATATTTACGCATATGTTGGTTTATCCTCCAAGGGTTGTAATAATGTGTGGCGTTTGTTATAATCATGCTTATATGTTTGTACTATTGTGTTGTTGTAGTTTATCTGTATTGTCATTGTGCTATGCTAAAATATAATGTACCATTTGTTTTCTTATGTTATCTTACCCATTGAAGTGAAGAACAATGCTAAACATAACAATGCATAGAATATATAGAAAATACGTATACATTTGAAAACAATAGAAACTACATGTTGGAATTATGTATTGTAAATACTAACTTTAAACATTATTGAATTTTAAAAAATTTCGGTAGAGTTTCCCTTAAATCTCTGTAATACCAAAATAATTTTGCCCCATATGCACAATATAAAAACAATAACAATCACAACAACACAACCATAATGTTATATGCACCATAACTACCACCACCAACACCCAACCACAACACCACAAAACACCCCACCACACAACCAACAACAATATATAGAAACTACTCTATAATATACATGTAAAAGATGATAAAACATAATAACACTAAGTTCCATAAGATGGCTTCTTCCTGAGTCGTTTCAAATGCCTATCCTCTAACTGTGATGACTCACCATCGATCACTTATGACACCGGATCTCCAACTATAATACTGCTTCTGCCTTTACCTTGACCACCCTGTCCTCTACCACCGCGGCCTCTAACACCTTAAAATCTGCCACCTCGACCACTACCTCGAACTAATAAAATTAGATGGGCAAGTGAAGTTGTAGCACGCTACTGTGACCTATGTACAATTGCAATAGTTGTAGCAAGTCCTATACCATGATCCTGTGTGTCCTCATCTGATGGATATGAAGTCTGAACATCTGTCGGAGGTGACATCATCAATGCCTCGTGACAAATAGGTTGGCTGGGCAATATGACTCCTGAAGCATCTAATGTGTATGTGTCTAGTTCTGCCATGGGGAAAACCAGCCAACTTTCATCTGACTATTGTGCCCTGATTATACTTTTGTAGTGCACCAAGAAATTTCAGCAAAATAGAATATGATTCATCCCAATCACAAAAAATCATAGCTATCACACATTGTTTTTCTTTCCATACTTTCCTATATGAAATTTTGTACTTATACACATTGAAAATGTGTTTTATCATCGCAACAACCTTTCGAGATGGATCGACCCTCACGAGGTCCTTTATTTGGCATGCAACTAATTGGGAATCTAATTGCACAAGGTCCTGGGTGGTTGACACATTCAGACAAGTGTGTGAGCCTTCAGATTTGGTAATTTGAAACACCCCTTGTGTTTTCTTTTGACATGCACAAAGCCTCCATTTGCACCCAAACTGGTATTTTTTACACCACAAAGCCAATAACTTTTTTCACTCTCAACAACCTCGAATTGGACATGATTGTTGATTGAATAAATCTTCACTACATCTTGTAAATCTACTTTACCCTTGAAGATTAGGTCAATGGATAACTCAAGTTGATCAAGATCCCACAATGGAGCTCTTGTTTGATTAGTGGCGGCAGACAGTTGGGGAAGTTTAGTATTGGTGAAAAAAACAAACGATGGCTCATGCATACAAACAGTGTCTTCCACTATAATTGATGGGTCATTTACATCAACGTTATCATTAATATTTTTCACATCGTCCAGCAATATAATCTCTTCATCCTCGTTGTCTGTGTCTTCTGCACAATCAACTACATGCATTCCATTCCTCACAAACACATCACCGTCTAAATGAAGCAAATTTTGAACGACATTGGTCCTTGTTTCAGTTTGAGATTGGGTACCAACATTCGATGAACATGTGGTGTATCCCAAAAATATCAACATCTGCGTACTAGGCCCCATATGCAATTTTGGCACATTAGGCTTGGCCTCTGAAATTCCATAGCCCGAATTAAACTCTGCAGCAAAAGTATTGTCCCCCATAAAGTCATGCGCATATTGACTGCTCCCTTCAACATAGTAAGAGTTAACAAGATCAGGCAAACTAGGACAGGGATTGATGTTCTCCTGTGTAAGCAATTGGATATATAGGCATACTCATTACCATTGGCTGAGGAAACTGTTGGATGTGCTCTGCCTGAATGTACAAGTCAATATTATTCAGTGCTTGGTTCTCAAATATAGCATCCAACATTGTCGCGGCACCATCATCATTTTTAATTTCAAATTCTATGTACTGTTGCATGCGATCCCCCAAAATTGACAGAAATTGACAAATTAGTTGTAGTCGTGTACATAGTTCTCAATAATTCCTCATATGTGGTCCTGTGTTTCAACTTTATACAATGTTGAGTCCTTCCATTGTATGATAAACAATCTTCATTGTATATAATATTACCTCTCCAATAGCACATTACTGTGGCGCGTCTACTCGACATTTTATACCTTCAATATAAAATATAATATCAAATAAATTTTCATCTTTTAATTACTAGATTGGATTGCATGACATATTTTACTTTTAAACCTAATAACATAGAAAGTGAAATCATAAAAGGTTACTTTCTAAATTTCCTACAGTGTAAGTACCTCTGAGCTGCTATGTTTAACACGCGCAAAAATTTTGATCCAACTACTCTTACTCAAGCGTCTAGGGTAGCACTCCAAAAAATTAACAACTCTCAATTTAAAGCCTATTACATTAAGCCAGCAGCAGAACCCTACATTATATTAGAGCATGATATCCTCCATTCCAATTTCGTTGTCACCTAATGCTTACATGTGGTTGGCATTTTTAGAAGACTTGATAGTTTAACAAGGTATCACACCAGCAAGTCTTACATTCAAATTTTGACACCACTCTAATAATTATAAGATTTACACACGTTTGATCCAAAATGTATCCCGCATTTAAGGAGACATGTTCAAATATATAAATATAGTTATATATTGTGAGTGGTATAATATCTGACCACTTCAATATGAAAAAAGAAAACAACCCTACTATTATTAAAAAAGATTATTTGCACTGGTGGTCCCCAAACTATTCACGTTGTCTCATTTTGATCCCCACCATTTCAATTGAATCAAATTGGTCCCCAAAGTATTCAATTTGATTTATTTTGGTCCCAACCACAAACGTCGTTTGCCTTTTGCCGTCTCCGTCTCCATGTGCCATTCATGTAAGGAGCAAAATGGACATTCAGGTCTAATACTAGCCCTTTGTCCAAATCCAACTAGGAAGTTTGTAGTAAAATCCAATATATGGAGCATAACCAAGACTATTAGCTATATCATCCATTTCAATGAGCGACATCAGTTCGCAATCACAGTCATCTATGTAATTTATTTTGCCCCCAACATAAGCTTTGGTTGGACTCTCTGTAAATTGACCACTGTGGTGAACCTCCATTGAGAAAAGTGAAGAATCATGGCCTAATGGTTTCCAAAAACAAGTAAATATAAAATTCATATTATAAAATTCAATGAACACATAAATTATAAAATATAATATATAAAATTCATATTGCATAAACAAGTGGTTCCAGCAACCACATAAACCATAAAATATTGAAAAAAAAATTGTTTTGCATAAAAAAATGTGTTTGAAAGCATCAAGACCATTTTATATTCAGTTGTACCCATGAAACTGAAACCCAAAACTATAAAAAGCAACCACATACCGTAATAGGGAACATCGGATGATCCTACCTGATTCCCTTTCTCCTTCCTAATGCTACGGACCATCTTTACACTATGATTCCCACTCAAAGAAGATGAGGATGAAGCTAATCACTCTTGTATTTTGCCCTGATAAACACTGGACATTTTGTCCTAAGTTGGAGTTCTCACCATTGTTTTTGTTGAAATGGAAGTGAAGAGGCAATTCATCACAGCCTTTGAATGGCTAAGTAGGAGACGTAGGGTGCAATGTTCACTTTGCCCCTCACGTGAATTTTGCACATGGAAACGGAGACGGCAAAAAGCAAATGGCGTTTGTGGTTGGGACCAAAATAAATCAAAGTGAATACTTTGGGGACCAATTTGATTCAATTGAAATGTTGGGGACTAAAATGAGATAACATGAATAGTTTGGGACCACCAGTGCAAATAATCCTATTAAAAATCACACCATATCTTATAATTCATTCATTGTTCAGAATCAAAGATATATTTCCAAACAAATCTAGTGCCATAGTGATCACAGCTGAAATATAAAGAAAAGTGGTAACCTAGTTTCATGTTTTTCATATGCTTTATTCCATAAAGCTTCATTGCCTTAGGTAGATTGATGCAAACAACTGATAGCAAAGTAAGTTGAGTCTATGATCAGTTGAACACAAACATAGAAATATTCTTGTTCTTTTCAAAATTCCAAAACCAATTTTAGGACCCTGATGCTGCATACAAACTGGAATCATGTGAAGGAACTTGTTGAGAAATTGACTTCTTGTTAAGATTCACTAATAACTAGATGTTGAGTACTTATTTTAGGATTGAACTATTGCATTGCATCATGGTTCATTAATAGCATGTCCTTTACGCTTTTCATAGAAGTTATATTATAATTATGATTTTATCCCGAAATGTTTTGCAAATTATAAGAAATGTGATGAAGGGGGTTCCATTCCCAACTGCCATCAAAGGTGTTGTTTGATGCTTGCATACTTTAGTATGATATGTATGCAATGTTATGAAATGGATTTTGGGAGGATATGTTTGTATAGGAATCTAAGGAGAGTTAACTTAGCTAGCTTGGTTTTATGCATATTATGTATTTCTCTTATATGTTCTAGTTGATGGTTTATACTACTTAACATTTTGTATGCTATTGTGATAGTTCGGGAGGAAACCACACTGGTACATGCTTTGTTATAGTCTATCGATTGATAGGCAAAGGATTGGTGTGTGCCATATAAATAATATAAATTAGCGGTATAAATTATTTATCATTATTCATATTTTCCATGGGTTGGAGTAGATTCTAATTAATCACCCTAAATACATTTGATCCATCTCCAAGAAATGAATGCACGACATTACACCACACACGTGATTTAGTATAAATACTGGTAGTGTAAACTTGAAAAAGTGATGCAAAAATATTGCATTACTGTACATGGTTTTAAACACACACATATTCAACTACGTGGAGAAATTTATCAAAATCCACAAGAAAAACAAATTCAGACCATACAAAAGAAATAACTTGAACTAATTACATGAAACTGTAAGGGGCATTTCATAATTCAACAATTTAAATTATAACTATTGTAACACCTTCACAATGGTTATTCACTGAATTTCAATTGTAATATGGAATAGAAGCACATATCAATATTCCTAATACACAAAAAATATAATTTAATCCAAAAAATAGCATTCAGTATTTATTGCATGGATGCAGTTCAAATTAAATTTCTAAATAATATTCAATCCTCAAAATACCTTCACACAGTAAATTACTGAAGTAAGGATGTAGTTCTGAATTTCTAATACAGTAAGGATGCAGTTCGAGCAAGCAATAGTATTGGAATTTTTTGAATTCAAATTACTCGAGGAAGCAACAGTATAGGGATTTTTGAGTTACACTTGGAGATTTCTGAATTTAACAGTGATGGGGATTGGGCAATGGGGATATTTTTCTAAACTTAGGAATTTTCAGAATTAGAGAGTAAATTGTAACGTACCTGGTTAAATAGTGTTGGAGTATAGATAGTCTAGGTTTATTAGGATTTCTTTTCCTAGGTTTATTAGGATTTCTTTTCCCTTTAGGATTTCTTTTCCCTTTTTTACCCTTACTATGATTTTTATATTTTGCCTATATATACGGGGTTTTACTCTTAATTGAGTATCTCCTTTTACTCACAATTATTTCAAGTTGGTATCAGAGCAAGGTTAGGGTTTGGGGTAGGGTTAGTGTATGGCTCTACCAGCCATACCGCCGAAACCACCCTGGCCATCAACTGCCTGAAAGTTGAATAGGAGAGGTTAAAGTGACGGCGCCGTCGCTGTCCGCCTTGATCAAGCCGTCGCTTCGTCTTGGCCCTCGTTTTTGCTCAATCTCTTCCGTTCAATTTTAGGCCTTAGTCTTGTACATTCTGTTGATCTGCCCTTGATGCAGTAGATCACTTATTTATATATTTTGGATTTCTGGGCACCGTGACTTGAGTTATTTGGGAGCTTTTTGGACCTTCCCTATTTGTCGCTACTGTTCGACTGAAGGTATATTGTTCTCCCTTATTTTATTCCTCTATCTTAGAGTTATTTGGGAGCTTTTTGGACCTTCCCTATTTGTCGCTACTGTTCGACTGAAGGTATATTGTTCTCCCTTATTTTATTCCTCTATTTATCTTAGAGTTATTTTTCTGTCACGGGTGCCCCAGTATTGTTGTTGATATGACTACTACTGAGGGATTTGAGAACCCTACTGTTGACACCTCTACCGTTGAGACAATCTATAATGAATTTTGATTGTGAATTGAGTTGAGTTTACTCCTCTTGTTCTTGATTGAACTTTTGAATTTATCAAAGGTAAATCACATCCTTTGTGGCGTTCTTGCTTGTAATTTGGGTTCTTCAGACGGGTCTAGATTTTAATATAATCTAGGTTCTTGGAACGAGATCTCAACGGGTCTAGTTGCATTACCAGCATTACCGGGCATGATCTCTCAAAAAAGGTTACGGCACAATTGTTGAATGGTCGTAACTTCGCTGAGTGGTCACGCTCATTCCAGCTTTTCTTAGGACGTGTAAGGAAGCTTGGTTGGCTGACAAGATCTCACCCAAAGACAGCTGATGCCGACCCTGGATATTCTGCATGGTTCTCTGAAAACTGTGCCATTCTTGGATGGTTATTTGGCTCAATGGAGCCCTCTGTTTGTAAGATCCACCAGTTTCATAGCTCTGTTCCGAAGCTATGGAGCGCATTATCAGAGATGTATTCTCAGTCAGGACGGGGAGTTTTTGGCCCCCAATTTTGGGCATCCATGTTTGGTTTTATTCTCTAGATTAGAGAATTTTGTGTAATCTCCCTTTGTTGATAGTGAAACTTTGCTATTGCGTTTCACCCGTGGAAGCTACTTGCTGGAAGCTCCATCCAGAGCTTAAGCCACCTTCTCGCAACATGATCGCCGTCCAGTTGATCGATATGGTTGGACCGCAAAGATTTTATATCCGATCTCTGCTTATGTTTCTTATGGTAATCTGTCTCCCACATTTCGAGCTTATACTATGGCGAATGGCTTTACTCAGGTACCAGGTCGTGATTTTGGTGCTACATTTGCCCCCGTGGCAAAATTGACTACTGTTCAGTTAATTATTTCTCTGGCTGCGGAGTACTCTTGGCCTCTTCATCAATTAGATGTGAAGAATGCATTTCTTCACGGTGATCTGGACGAGATTATTTATATGGATGCACCACCGGGCTTTCGTGGTGAGGGGGAGTATGCTGGAAAGGTATGTCGACTGCGTAAATCTCTTTATGGACTGAAACAGTCGCCACGAGCCTGGTTCTCTCGCTTCAGTGATGTAGTCATACGATTGGGGTTCACCAGGTGTCATTCTGATCATACCTGCTTTATTCGACGGAATACTTCTGGACAGTGTGTCATCCTTCTGGTATATGTTGATGATATTATTATTACTGGTGATGATGTTTCTGGGACTGCACAGGTCAAGATAGACCTTGGGAAGGCCTTCGATGTGAAGGATCTTGGATTTTTGCGATACTTTCTTGGGATTGAGGTTGCCCGTAGAAGCAGAGGTATTGTTCTTTCTCAGAGAAAGTATGTTTTGGATCTTCTTTCAGACACTGGGATGTTGGGGTGCAAACCGGCATTATCACGTATGATTCCAAACCTGAAGCTTACTACTGAAGGTGAGGAGTTGAAAGATCCGACAGTTTATCAAAGATTGGTAGGTAGACTTATCTACTTAGCCAATACTAGGCCGGACATTTCATTCGCAGTCAGCCGAGTTAGTCAGTTCATGCATAGGCCATGTCAGACTCATCTTGATGCAGTTTATCATATTCTTCGGTACCTCAAGTCTTGTCCTGGACTTGGGTTGTTTTATGCATCAGGATCTCAGACCGGTTCTCTAGCCTGTTATTCAGATTCAGATTATGGGGGAGCATGTGATGATCGATTCTTGACGAGTTGGGTTTTTCAGTGACCTCTCCATCCACATTATATTGTGATAATCAATCTGCTATTCAGCTCGCTTCTGACTCTGTACTACATGAGAGAACGAAGCATATAGAGATCGATGTTCACTTTCTTCGGGAGAAGGTCAGCAGTGGTCTTGTTACTCCATCGTTTGTGGGGACCAGTGATCAAGTTGCGGATATTTTTACCAAACCTGTCACTCTGTCTGTTCTTCGGGACTCCGTTGTCAAGCTTGGCTTAGTTGACATTTTTGTGCCTAGCTTGAGGGGGAGTGTTGGAGTATAGATAGTCTAGGTTTATTAGGATTTCTTTTCCTAGGTTTATTAGGATTTCTTTTCCCTTTAGGATTTCTTTTCCCTTTTTTACCCTTACTATGATTTTTATATTTTGCCTATATATACGGGGTTTTACTCTTAATTTGAGTATCTCCTTTTACTCACAATTATTTCAAGTAATAGAATGTCTTCTATTCAACACATGAAGCCCTATCTTCTCCTTGCTTCAAACCTAACCCACAGGTGTGCACTAGTCCACTGCACGATTTGACAAAAGACTGAGTAAGCTAGGCCTATTAAGAAT